ATCTGTGAGAGGAGGGACCCAGGCAGGCAAGGTGGATGGAGATGAAACACAGAGCTGGATACGTGCCGGCAGGCAGCAATGTTGGCTTGGAGCAGCCAGAGACCAGAAGGGAAGGAACTGAGACAGGGTTTGGAAGGAAGAGCTGAGCTTGGCTATGATGGAGTGGTTAAACCAGGAGAGAAAATAAACACAGCCACTTCAGCAGAAGGAGGGGATCTGAGCCAAGAGAAAGCAAGGGTGGGTAGGGATATGAAAAGAAAGGATAAACCCAGTCGAAGCAGAGGGAGGACACTGCACAGCAGGCAAAGAAAGGGAAGGAGGATCCAGCACATCCAGGCGTTCTGGTGAGTGCCAGAGATGCAAGCTGTGCAAGGAGCCTGGTGTTCTGCATGGGGCTGCAATAAATCCGTTCCTTGCTTTGCGATGAATCCCCAATAACCAGTGTCCACGCGTGGACACCTGGGTGGTGTGATGGTGGGGAGGGAGGTGGGGTGCAGCACCAGGCTGATGGCTTCTCCTCCCTCCATTGCCAGCTCCTGGGTGACATCCTCATCGTCGTCCTGGCTGCCCACTTCGCCAAGGACTTCACCCCCGCCTGCCAGGCTGCCTGGCAGAAGATGGTCAATGTGGTGGCCCATGCACTGGCCCACGAGTACCACTGAGCCTCCTGCAATCATTCGTGCCTGGAGATGCTCCCAGCTCACAGGGAAACATCCTCTGGTTCTGCTGGTCTCTAATTGCCAAATAAACACCAACTGCTTCAGACATGAAGAGGTGTCTGCCTCTCTGTGGGAATGGGGTGGGGACCACCCCAGGGTGCTGGGGAACAGGAAGGGGATGCTCACACACACAGGGTAACATGAGCCACGGTCTTGTCTATGAGTTCATGCAAATGAGACTCATCTAAGCTGGCAAATCCAGAGGAACATTCAAGACAAAAAACAAATAAACACACTACAAAATACGAACATAAATACTCTGATGCTTTTTTGAGACATCAGGTAACATCATTGGGTTTAATGTTTTAAGTCTTTCACAGATTAAGTGGAACAAAACTTTGTACAAAGATGTACATTGGGGAAATGGCAGTGAGATTAGGTCCATTGTTTGTAGCTTCCTTCATGGAAGGAAAAATGCTTTTTTTGTTGTTTTTTGTCTAAATCATTATCATTCTCAGATTATTAAAGGCAGAAAATAATAGACACAACTATCTATTATGGCAAAAAATATGCCAAGAATAGTAATTTCATGTACTGGAAGGACAGAGCATCTGCTTTCACTGGTCTCTACATCTAAATTTCCACAAGCAAACTGAAATTCCCTGAACAGTCTCCATGCTATGCAGAGGACCATGGCCCTCACCAGCCTCCTGTCCTTCTTTCAGACTCACAGCATCCCCACAGCACCGAGAGCAGCTCAGGGACATGTTTGGGGTTTCTGGGTGGTGAACCCCTCCTGCCTCCTTATCAGGGAGAAGGCAGAGCGAATGGCTCCAGAGCCGGTCTGCAGTAAACACTGCACTGTTCAGCGTGGAGGGCCAGGGAACAGTGTCACTCCCCAAGCCTGCCCCCAGGGTCCTTTGGCCGAACCCCTTCCTGAAGTGAGCAGGCAGAGGAGAACCGGTGCAGACATCAGAAACAGTGGCAGCCCGCAGCCCATGGCCAATGCAAACAAGGTCATCCAGACCCCTCTGGACCAGCTGGCGTTCCCGTGCATTGCCTGGGTCCAGCCCCAGAAGCTCCATCCCTGGCCCCAGCGCCTGCATCCCACCCCAACACCTCCAGCCCGCTCTGCTGGGAGCAGGAGCAGATGTGCAGCCCCAGGAGACCCAGCTGCCTCTCCCACCACTTGGGAGGACCACTGCTCCTCCGGCTGCCAAATCGCTAGGTCAGGCACTGTCGCCTGCTGAGCATCTGCACAGACCCCAGTATACCCAGTCTTCCCCACCTCTCCTGGGGCCCCTGCGAGCTAACACCCTGCAGGCAATTGGTGTGCCCTCTGTTGTAACATTTCCCTTCCACGCTTGCTTGACCTTTTCTAGCAGGCTTTTTGAGACAAGAGCTCTCTCTGACTGCAAGCCACTGCCCATGGTTTTCTTACTGTTACCCTAAAGTTAGCAAACTGTTAAATAGCTGATAGGAAAGAACAAGGAGAACCCAAAGCCTGGCAGCTCCTGCAAGAAGAGAACAGAGAAACCGCTTGCACACCCCTGATGCATTCACAGGGAGGACTCAACAGTCCCAAGTCTGAGTCTTCTGCCTCACAGCCACGCAGCCTGCCGTGGTTTGCACCATCCAAGGGGCACCAAGACTTGCATGCACCTTCCTCCGAGGCCTTATGCAGGATTCGCACAGTGCCATGCTCGGACTTTGCATGGAGATAAATGCCACCCTTCAGTAGGGACTTGCAGAGCTGGAAATCAAAGACAGGGGGAGGGCAGCCTGCCAGCCCATCCCAGCGGTGGATCTGGGCATCTTGCCCTGGGGCCCCACCCTGACACCGCGTCCCCTCCCTCGGGGTGCCAGGGCTGCAGGCCCCCCCCGAGGCCTCAGCCAATGGAGGGGTGCATGGGGAAGAGGAGGGGCCCAGTGTAATGTATAAAAGTGGGGACGGGGAGAGCTGCTCGCCAGCGTGCGATCCCCTCGGGAGCAAGACCTGAGACTTCCTCCGTACCCGCCGGCAACCACACGCTACCCTCCACCTGCCACCATGGTGCACTGGACAGCCGAAGAGAAGCAGCTCATCACCAGCATCTGGGGCAAGGTCAATGTGGCCGACTGCGGTGCCGAGGCCCTGGCCAGGTAGGTCCAGCTCCTGGGCATCTGCTCAGCTGCACCCTGGAGAGAGAAACCATGGCAATTGCATTTGGGAGCATTAACGTGTCCATGTCTGCTTGTGTCCCTCCATCTCTCCCCAGGCTGCTGATCGTCTACCCCTGGACCCAGAGGTTCTTCTCTTCCTTCGGGAACCTCTCCAGTGCCACTGCCATCACTGGCAACCCCATGGTCCGCGCCCATGGCAAGAAAGTGCTCACCTCCTTCGGGGATGCCGTCAAGAACCTGGACAACATTAAGGCGACCTTCGCCCAGCTGTCCGAGCTGCACTGCGACAAGCTGCACGTGGACCCCGAGAACTTCAGGGTGAGCCATGCTCCTGACCAGGGGACCCATCCTCCCCACTGCGTCTCTGCGGGCAGTTTCTCCCAGAACCCTGAAGGATTTACCCTAGACAGGAGGAAGAGGGGCAGGTGGTTGAAGTGAGGGGGCGATGCAGGAGAGGGACAGAGAGGGAAGGGACCAACCTGCAGCTTGGTGTGAAAACACCTAAGGGGCTGAGTGGTGATGGTTAAGCAGAGGCTGTCCGGAAGGTACAAGTGAGGGTAGACGGGAGGGTGGCAAGGAGGTGGTTTCAGTGTGGAAGGGGAGGGAGAGAGTAAAGCGAAAGCAGTTGTTGAGCAAGAAGAGGTTTGAGCCAAGGGGAAAGCAAAGGAGCAAGAGTGAAGCTTGGCATGGAGCAGAAAGGCAAGATGAGTGAGGAGCAAGAGATGGCAGTTAGATGCCAAAAGCAAAAGAGGAATGGGACCTAGAGGGAGAGAAAACTTTGGGTCCCGCATCTCTGCAGCTGAGAGTTTCCCAGTGGAAGTAACCCCGACATTTGCCACTGGGGCTGGTAGAGATCCCTCCGCGTCAGCACGAGCTCATTGTTCATGCCAGGGCACTTTGCAGTGCAAGTGCCAGCTCCCTGCCATGAGGCAGATGCTCAGCTGTGTCTTCTGCTCAGGAGAAACTCCCAAACGAAGCCAGAAGGGAGAAAGAAAAATTTAATCAACAGAATTTCTGGAGAATTTTTGGTTACTCTTCCCATAGCAGTAGCAGAACATGAATCTTCAGAGTAAGAGCAGAGGAGTTTAAGGTACATCTTAAACAGGACTGCAGGGAGATTTTTAAGCCTACAAAATGCCTGGAGGTTTCCCTGGGTCTAATGTGAGTGTTTGGGTGGGAATCTGCAGGCTCCTGGGCATTGCTAACCCGAGGGTGCTCTTGTCCCCGCAGCTCCTCGGTGACATCCTGATCATCGTCCTGGCCGCCCACTTCACCAAGGAGTTCACTCCCGAAGCCCAGGCTGCCTGGCAAAAGCTGGTCCGTGCGGTGGCCCACGCTCTGGCCCGCAAATACCACTAAAGTGCCAGCAGGAAAGCCCTGGCAGCATCCTCCAGCTGTGTGTCGTGCACCGGCTGACATGCTGCTCTGGAGCTGACAGCTTCTAACAGCCAAATAAAGCTCATCCTGTGAAGTCTCCACTGAGTCTGTGTGTCCCTGAGGGGCTGGAGGGGTTGGGGGGACGGGGACCTGGGGCACCTGCAGGCGGACTGGGGTGTAAGCTGGAGCAGGGCAGGCATTTTGCTCCCCAAAAATACTGCTTCTCTTTATTCTGTATATTTTTGGGGGGTTCGTGTGGGATTTGCCTCTGGAAATCATACTTACAGTGTGTTGGGTAGCTACAGCCCTGCTACGTCTGTGGTCACGCACTGGGAAGTTTGTACTGAGGGGCTAGTTGATATTTTACTGTGAAACCTGCTTGTTTTCTTGCAGGCAAGGGGAACTTGGAGGATTCATATTTTTTAGGGAGGATAAACAACGCGAAGACTTTAATCTACCCTGGCTCATTCCTGGCATAAAGCCTACAAAAAAATTAGCTGACTCATACTGGCCAAGCAGCCAGCTGGGTGGGGGTAGGTTTTAGATAAACATTTTGCTATCAAGACCTGTCCAGACTTTGTTTATGCACTTCTTTTTCACCCTGTGCCGCCCATTCTGCAATTATGGGGGGCCCAATCCTGCTAATAGTGGTGACTATTATATAATTTTCTGCTGTGAGTGTCAACTGGCGCTCTGTGCAGACAGAGTGTTTGGGGTGTTCAAGTGTCTGCAGAGCAGGACTCTCTAGGGTAGAGTTTGTTCTTGGCATGGGAAGCACTGTCTGCCCTGTCCGAACTGAGCATGACGCAGTAAAAGCAAGGGTTAGTGGAAAGGACATGCTTACTTTTTAAAGGGAAAAAAGAGGGCATAGCTATATATCCCACTATCTCTGACACCCTGTTTGCACTGTGTCCTGTCCCTGTTTCATCCACATTTGTGGGCATCCCACTCTCTGCCCCTGACCCACTGGAGGGTGTTAAAAGCCCTCTGTGACCCATAACTGCCCCTTCTCATACACATTACTTGAAGGAAGAGGCATTTTGTTTCTGGTGTCAAGGCAGACACTGAGAAGATGATTCGTAGCAAGTCCCAAAGTGCTTTTCTCCCTGCAGGGAATCTGGGCAGGCACAGAGTGCCGTGTCTTGGTCAGGTGTCCAGGGTCACAAAAAAACCAGATTCTCACATGTTTTTTCACAGGTTTCATGATAGATATTCGTAGACTTTCATACGAACATGATTGTTCATAGACTTCAGGCAGAAATGACTGAATTACTTGAACAAGTAGGTCTCCTCCTGCAAGTAATGTGCCTGGTAGAAATGAGCCAAGCAGACATCTGAGGTTAGACCCTACAGGTCAGTGCAGCAAGGGAGGGCTGGGCTCTTCCCACTGCTGGGGCTCCTGCTGGGATTCCCCTTCCCGGGAGCAGGGACGAGGGTTTCCATCCCCTACGCCCAGCGGCATGGCAGGATGGGTACGGTGCCCACTGGCACTGCCCATGAATTCACTCCCCATCCCCAGCCCCAGCTGGGGGATGACACCCTGGTCCTTGTCCCCCCAGCAAACAGATCCTGTGAGGTGTCCTCTCCCCGTGCTGCTTTGCCTGCTCCCATTTTGACTCCTGCGTGGTGGCAGAACGCCGCTGCAGGAGCTGACAACCCCGCAGGCGATGCCTGGTGCAGTGCAGTGCTGGCAGCACCACGGGTCCTGGAGGGGCTGATACGATGGTGCAGGAGGGTGGGCGCTGGCAGCAGCCTGGAGGCATTTTGCCTGCGTGTTCTCCCCCCCATGTATGCAGCCAGGCAGTGCTTGACTTGATTTATCATCATGCTCCAGCACACCAGCCCACGTGCACTAGATTTTCTTGAGAAAAAGCAGATGTAGGCAACTTTGATGAAGATTATTCATCCCTATTCCATTGGAAAAAAGTCTGCAACTAAAGGGGGAGAGAGATATTATCAGGCTGAAAATCTCCCTTGGTATTTTCTTTCTTTTAATTGATTTTTCTGCTCATTCCTGTCTTTTCAGTAAAAGGCCAAGAGGACACTTAGCAGGAGGTGGTCCATGCAGTAAGGCAAGCCCCAACTTCTCTTCCTTCGGGAACCTCTCCAGTGCCACTGCCATCACTGGCAACCCCATGGTCCGCGCCCATGGCAAGAAAGTGCTCACCTCCTTCGGGGATGCCGTCAAGAACCTGGACAACATTAAGGCGACCTTCGCCCAGCTGTCCGAGCTGCACTGCGACAAGCTGCACGTGGACCCCGAGAACTTCAGGGTGAGCCATGCTCCTGACCAGGGGACCCATCCTCCCCACTGCGTCTCTGCGGGCAGTTTCTCCCAGAACCCTGAAGGATTTACCCTAGACAGGAGGAAGAGGGGCAGGTGGTTGAAGTGAGGGGGCGATGCAGGAGAGGGACAGAGAGGGAAGGGACCAACCTGCAGCTTGGTGTGAAAACACCTAAGGGGCTGAGTGGTGATGGTTAAGCAGAGGCTGTCCGGAAGGTACAAGTGAGGGTAGACGGGAGGGTGGCAAGGAGGTGGTTTCAGTGTGGAAGGGGAGGGAGAGAGTAAAGCGAAAGCAGTTGTTGAGCAAGAAGAGGTTTGAGCCAAGGGGAAAGCAAAGGAGCAAGAGTGAAGCTTGGCATGGAGCAGAAAGGCAAGATGAGTGAGGAGCAAGAGATGGCAGTTAGATGCCAAAAGCAAAAGAGGAATGGGACCTAGAGGGAGAGAAAACTTTGGGTCCCGCATCTCTGCAGCTGAGAGTTTCCCAGTGGAAGTAACCCCGACATTTGCCACTGGGGCTGGTAGAGATCCCTCCGCGTCAGCACGAGCTCATTGTTCATGCCAGGGCACTTTGCAGTGCAAGTGCCAGCTCCCTGCCATGAGGCAGATGCTCAGCTGTGTCTTCTGCTCAGGAGAAACTCCCAAACGAAGCCAGAAGGGAGAAAGAAAAATTTAATCAACAGAATTTCTGGAGAATTTTTGGTTACTCTTCCCATAGCAGTAGCAGAACATGAATCTTCAGAGTAAGAGCAGAGGAGTTTAAGGTACATCTTAAACAGGACTGCAGGGAGATTTTTAAGCCTACAAAATGCCTGGAGGTTTCCCTGGGTCTAATGTGAGTGTTTGGGTGGGAATCTGCAGGCTCCTGGGCATTGCTAACCCGAGGGTGCTCTTGTCCCCGCAGCTCCTCGGTGACATCCTGATCATCGTCCTGGCCGCCCACTTCACCAAGGAGTTCACTCCCGAAGCCCAGGCTGCCTGGCAAAAGCTGGTCCGTGCGGTGGCCCACGCTCTGGCCCGCAAATACCACTAAAGTGCCAGCAGGAAAGCCCTGGCAGCATCCTCCAGCTGTGTGTCGTGCACCGGCTGACATGCTGCTCTGGAGCTGACAGCTTCTAACAGCCAAATAAAGCTCATCCTGTGAAGTCTCCACTGAGTCTGTGTGTCCCTGAGGGGCTGGAGGGGTTGGGGGGACGGGGACCTGGGGCACCTGCAGGCGGACTGGGGTGTAAGCTGGAGCAGGGCAGGCATTTTGCTCCCCAAAAATACTGCTTCTCTTTATTCTGTATATTTTTGGGGGGTTCGTGTGGGATTTGCCTCTGGAAATCATACTTACAGTGTGTTGGGTAGCTACAGCCCTGCTACGTCTGTGGTCACGCACTGGGAAGTTTGTACTGAGGGGCTAGTTGATATTTTACTGTGAAACCTGCTTGTTTTCTTGCAGGCAAGGGGAACTTGGAGGATTCATATTTTTTAGGGAGGATAAACAACGCGAAGACTTTAATCTACCCTGGCTCATTCCTGGCATAAAGCCTACAAAAAAATTAGCTGACTCATACTGGCCAAGCAGCCAGCTGGGTGGGGGTAGGTTTTAGATAAACATTTTGCTATCAAGACCTGTCCAGACTTTGTTTATGCACTTCTTTTTCACCCTGTGCCGCCCATTCTGCAATTATGGGGGGCCCAATCCTGCTAATAGTGGTGACTATTATATAATTTTCTGCTGTGAGTGTCAACTGGCGCTCTGTGCAGACAGAGTGTTTGGGGTGTTCAAGTGTCTGCAGAGCAGGACTCTCTAGGGTAGAGTTTGTTCTTGGCATGGGAAGCACTGTCTGCCCTGTCCGAACTGAGCATGACGCAGTAAAAGCAAGGGTTAGTGGAAAGGACATGCTTACTTTTTAAAGGGAAAAAAGAGGGCATAGCTATATATCCCACTATCTCTGACACCCTGTTTGCACTGTGTCCTGTCCCTGTTTCATCCACATTTGTGGGCATCCCACTCTCTGCCCCTGACCCACTGGAGGGTGTTAAAAGCCCTCTGTGACCCATAACTGCCCCTTCTCATACACATTACTTGAAGGAAGAGGCATTTTGTTTCTGGTGTCAAGGCAGACACTGAGAAGATGATTCGTAGCAAGTCCCAAAGTGCTTTTCTCCCTGCAGGGAATCTGGGCAGGCACAGAGTGCCGTGTCTTGGTCAGGTGTCCAGGGTCACAAAAAAACCAGATTCTCACATGTTTTTTCACAGGTTTCATGATAGATATTCGTAGACTTTCATACGAACATGATTGTTCATAGACTTCAGGCAGAAATGACTGAATTACTTGAACAAGTAGGTCTCCTCCTGCAAGTAATGTGCCTGGTAGAAATGAGCCAAGCAGACATCTGAGGTTAGACCCTACAGGTCAGTGCAGCAAGGGAGGGCTGGGCTCTTCCCACTGCTGGGGCTCCTGCTGGGATTCCCCTTCCCGGGAGCAGGGACGAGGGTTTCCATCCCCTATGCCCAGCGGCATGGCAGGATGGGTACGGTGCCCACTGGCACTGCCCATGAATTCACTCCCCATCCCCAGCCCCAGCTGGGGGATGACACCCTGGTCCTTGTCCCCCCAGCAAACAGATCCTGTGAGGTGTCCTCTCCCCGTGCTGCTTTGCCTGCTCCCATTTTGACTCCTGCGTGGTGGCAGAACGCCGCTGCAGGAGCTGACAACCCCGCAGGCGATGCCTGGTGCAGTGCAGTGCTGGCAGCACCACGGGTCCTGGAGGGGCTGATACGATGGTGCAGGAGGGTGGGCGCTGGCAGCAGCCTGGAGGCATTTTGCCTGCGTGTTCTCCCCCCCATGTATGCAGCCAGGCAGTGCTTGACTTGATTTATCATCATGCTCCAGCACACCAGCCCACGTGCACTAGATTTTCTTGAGAAAAAGCAGATGTAGGCAACTTTGATGAAGATTATTCATCCCTATTCCATTGGAAAAAAGTCTGCAACTAAAGGGGGAGAGAGATATTATCAGGCTGAAAATCTCCCTTGGTATTTTCTTTCTTTTAATTGATTTTTCTGCTCATTCCTGTCTTTTCAGTAAAAGGCCAAGAGGACACTTAGCAGGAGGTGGTCCATGCAGTAAGGCAAGCCCCAATGTCTGGAGAGGAGCTTGGTCAGTTCTTTAGCTCTGCTGCGGCCTGGCCATCCGAACATCCCGCCTCTTACCCAGTCACTAGTCCGACAAGATTCAGTGCCTCTTACTTAGCCCAATACAAATCCTATGGAAAACAACAGGAAGACAGTGGAGTGCCCCAGGTGCCTTGGGATCAGGATCAAAGCCCCTGCGCTTTCAGCATGGACAGTGTTTCTTGGGGTTTTATGCAGAAAACAAAACAGGAGAGCCCCCACCATGCAAGGGCATTTCTCCTGGCGAGGGTGCATCACCCCCAGTGTGCTCGGGGGTGTCCCGGGGGAGCAACTCACACGAACTCCACACATCTTCTCCTGCCAAAGGAGGTTGGGCACAGCCTGGCTGAACATGGGGGAAAATGTGAAATAGGGCAGCCTTGTCAGGGCAGGTTCAGAAGGGAAAGGCCCTGGGCTCCCCCCGGTCTGGACATCCCTGAGCTGAGCTTTTGCTGCTTTTTGAGCCCACAGCAGATCCTGCAGTGGCAAACCTTGTGTTCAAAGCCTGTTTCACCTGCCCTTTGTGGGTGTGAATGAAAGCAGAAATGGGATGAACAGGGTGATCCTGTTTGACACTTGCTCCCTGTCCAGCAGCACTGCATCTGGCTGGTCCTTTTACATCTGAGGGGAGAACATTTGGGTGAGCTTCTTCCTGCTCCAAAAGAACAAGTAAACCAAGCAGGTCAAGTTCTGTCACAGGAGGAGGACAGTAGGGTTAATGCAGATTTCAGCTGCAAAGCCTGAGCATCTTCTGAACAACTCCAGCATTGCCCACAGCTCCTGGTGGTGCAAGGAGACTGGAGTTGTCCTGCAGCATGAGTATCTGAATGGTTTGCTGGTGGCAAACCCCTCTGGGTTGCTCTGCCACAGGCTGCATTTTGGCAGGGGCATTCATCATTTTGCTGATAGAGCTAAGGTGAGGCAGAGTCCAGCATTTGGGAGAGCCAAGGCACAAGGGCTCAGCACTGGGTCCAGCTCTGTTCAATATCTTTATCAACGACCTGGACGAGGGGATCGAGGGCACCCTCAGCCAGTTTGCAGAGGACACCCAGTCGGGCGGGAGCGTTGATCTGCTGGGGGGCAGGGAGGCTCTGCAGAGGGC